AATAACCTGGTTCAGATTTCCAATAAAACACACAGTTTCAGATCTTTTGGTTAATGACGGTTTAGAAATAATCTCTGTTTAATCTGGGAATCAAACGACACATAGACATAGGTCTGTTTTGTAGACAAAATGAAGTCACAGTCGGTCAGACACGAAGTTGCCATGGTTACTGTGAAAAGCTAACTACAGTGTTTGCTGTGACAGATTCCGTAAAAATAAGGTGTTTTTTTTTAAACGTACGTATGTAAGTTTTAAACAGTGATCCGCCAATTAAATGTAAATATTCTTTCAGGCCATAGGTCGAAAGAAGTGTTTCTCACCCCCAGCCAAGTAAATCGAACGCGTTCATAGTGGAAGTCCTTGAAAGACTCTGGACGATGCTTAGATGTCAGATGGTTACGAGAAACTGCAATTAACACGCAGTAGACACGAAGCAGCAGTGACAGGCGTCGAAGAAAACTGCATAATGAGGGACTCCGTAATTTGTACTTTTCACCAAACATTAAGATGATCGAGGAGAACAGGATGGGCGAGGCATGTAGCGCGCATGGGGGGGAGATGAGAAATGCGTGCAGAATGTTAGCTGGGAAACCTAAAGATAAGAAATCACGTGGAAGACAGGCGCAGATGGGAGGACAATATTAAAATTGGGTTGGAGGCCAGATTAATTCAATCCACATCTATTTCCTTGAGAGTCATCTATGCCTTCGTCTTGCGAGTAGTCTCTTGCCTTCTGGGTTTCCAACTAAAATTTTGTATGCATGATATATTATTAAAATGGATATTAGGTGTGTGATTGAAGTGAGGATAGGGTCAAATGTTTTCCTGCAATGAAATTGGTTGCACTATCTTAAACAGTCAGCCGGTTATTTTGTAAGCCAGTAAATTAGTTCGTCATTTGGCCATTCGGTTGGAGGCAGCACGGATCGTGTTCAAGTAGAATGCGGACCCGTGTCCATCTGGCTGCTGCCGTCGCTGTAGCAGAACGTAACGAGGTGATCACCTTGAACCTTCCAGGTCAAGCTCTTGAAGTTGCCTGGTCGCCTCTTCTTCATTGACAAAGAAAGTCGTTGAGTAATTTTAGCTGTGACTTCACCGAGGTACGATATTATTAATTGATAAAGCCATCTGGACGCGTGTGCGCCATCTTATTCTTAAACTTTTACATGTATTTAGGCTTCAAACGTTTGCTATCGCACAGAAGTGGCGTGTTATTATTGTTAAAATACCTTTGCTTTGTGGTGTGTCGATTGTTGAGGTTAGATTTAACAATGTTGCTATTGTTCACATCACTTCTAGATTGAATTGTGCCCTGTTCTAGTTAAGCATTGTTTACCATCTTCTTATTCCCTTATACATGTATATTGATACAATGCCGTCAAATAATCCACCACTCTTTTTTTTTCCTGTAATAAATGACTTCATACATAGTAATAAGAACAACTTGTAATGGCTTCGTATCGTGAAAACGTAAAGAAAGCATAGTCATTAATTTTATACATTAAACATTATAAAGTCAAATCCATATTTCAACCGATCTCTTAATTTTTCTACATGACTCGATATTTCATTGTTAATTCTCATGTAAATCAATTTGCTGCTACGAGACGGGGGTGTGGTTTGATTAACGGAAGTGGATGTATGCGCATCTCATTACCGCGAACAAAGCAAACAGATTATGGTGCCTGTTCATTTCCCACAATTCCGTAGGAGTCGGCTATATGAACAAGGTATACACAACCGTAGAGGCGTTCTTAAAAAAATGAAGGTTGGAAACGTTTCGTGTTCAAAAATATTATAGATGTGATTTTAGGAAGCACGCTTTTGGCATAACTGTTAAATAAAACGATCCATAAAATAAATCGTCCAAGTTATTAATTCGTGCATCTTACCATTAATTAAGTTCTTTTAATCTCTTCTTTGCTATAAAGCCAGTTGTACGTCATATTTAATAGGTGCAAATGTTTTTATGAGCAGTTTGTTGCAGGAGTTTGGTCGGTAAGGGATAATTTGTTTTGGACAGAATAATTGTGGCAGCCGTAGAAGGAAAAATTATTTTAATGTGGAAAGGAGAACGAAAATCACAGTGAACATGTTTAGGATATTACACAATGAGACCCCATAATGCGTTATGAAGAAGGAGGCTAATATATGGCAGCGAATGTTGGACCCTCAGATCTTGGACCTTCGCTACTAGCAGAGTTATCTAGCTGGTCACTTGTCGAGATGAAGTCAATACCACAGCCGTGTAATTTAAATTCACGGTTTTACGAAATTAGCGGAGGCCGTCCTATCAATTACTACATGAGGCCAGTGCAAATTTGGGATGCCGTTAGTTGGGTGTGGCCGCGTGGAAATTACCATCTCGGGAGCATTGATTGGGGGCCATTTGAAACGTACGCCTGTGATTTCATTGCCGCGCGTCGGTTGAGGGGGAGGGGTGCATGCCTAGAGCCCCAAGAAACTCTCGATACCGATCTCACTTTATAGTACAAATCTTTGAATTAGTGGATAATAATTTTCGCCTACGGTTTTTTCTTTCAGAACCTTCGAGACGAAATGCATGACCATTGAACAATGAAGGTTGCTCATTTGACTCACATTTCCAAAAGAACCCACATCTTAAATAACTTTCCTCATAGGAGATTGCCTTCAAATGCACGGGAAGCATAACAGCTACATACATTCTGAATAGGTCTTATTCTCATATTAATGGTTTCAGTACATAACCTGCAATTTCATCGTCTGTTACCGTTAAATATTAGAAAAATACCCGTTGAAATTCAAGCTGTTTTCTTTATATTACCATTCTTACGCGGTTTGTAAGATGATTTCCTTGTGAACACACTTTCTGTTATGTGGCTTATGTTCAGAACCGTGTAGTATATGATCATGAATGAAGAGGGCAGGAGCTACTGAACATGCACAGAGAAAATATATTAAAGTTTTCAAAAAACACATTACACGTTGATATATATTGTTTATAAAAACCGAACTTGCTTGCCATATATATTAACATACACTGCAACAACTATTTAGTTAAGATTCAGTATTCTGTTCATCACTTACCTTCAAATTTGTATACCTGCTCACACCAAATGGTACACTTAAATATAATTCCAGGTTAAAACAGACGAATTTTACTATTAGTTTCTATACATTACAATGCCATGACGAATTTATGCAGTGGATATAAAAGAAGTTTGTTATAAAACAGTGATTTAGTTCATGCATATTTGGGCAGTAATGCTATTCCACAACTTACAAGCAGTACATTAATAAAAGACTTTTTGCGTAATTAATGATGCCCAATCATATTAATGGATTAAATGTCTTGATAGGTTTAAACTTGCCTACAAACATAATCCATACATGTGAAGTTAAAGAAGACACTTCTGCAGTGCACATCTATATCCCAGTACCATTAACGTGTGCAATATAAAACATACCACAGTTAAACCTATTATTTTGTCGCTGAACACATTTCTTCACCTCTTACGACCTTCCAGGGAACTCAAGCAGTCGATTATGTTAATTTAGGTTATCCTGTTGGTTTCGGATAAGACAAGGCTTTTATGGACCTAACAGAAGGACCGGATGGAAGAGAATTGAGGCCATGGACCGAATACGGACCAGAGACACACAGAAGAAGGGATGGCAAAGAAATAAAACCTTCACTCTAGTCACATTTGCCTTTTCATGTTATTCACAAAACTACGGCTACTCTTTGAGAATGTTGCATAAAAGTGTTTAATTTTCCATATTTATTGAAGAACACATAATACAAAGCATTCATTCTCTGCTGTCGTCATCAGTTGAGCATGTACGAAGTGCAAGGTATCTCGTATCCATGTTTCAGGCACAACTGGAATAGTTTTAAATATAAGGCAAGCCACGGCAAACACAAGTGTAATGTTTGCATTTAGCAGTATATCAAATATATGAATACATTTCAATTGAATAAATAAATACAGAACAATGAACAAAAACAAAAACATTCTCATGTTATCAAATGACAAGACTGCACCAAACTTGGCATGATCCAAAATAATGCCTCCCTAGAAATGAATATCTGCGGAATGATTCTTTAACGCGCGTGAAGTCTATATTCTACAAAATAAAGTAAAACCAGACTGCAATTTTGGTATGACGCCATCTACAAGCAGCAAAAATGATGATGATGACAAAGCAAACTCCAATTTACAATTTCTGGGCCGAGACCTCATCGAGGATTTTGGCCCGCTAACCGCGCAATTAGAGGCAGCATCATTTTTAACACATAATATATGGAAAAGCAGAATCTTGTTCACTGCAACCTGCGTGACATGAACAAACTAAAATTAAAATGGTGCGGCGTAGCTTACAAATCTAGCGCACAACTTGCAGTGCAGAAAACAAGCCCCATCTTGAAAGAATCTAAACAAATCTGAAAATATAGAGTGAACAAACCAACAACTATTAACACTATAATGGACACTATTGCCATACGCGTTTCGATCTCAAGAGATCATCATCAGTGGCATCAGGGAAATTAACATATATAGTCTAATGGTTCGAGCAAATTGACTGCACTAGATGCTGTTATTCACAGGAGTAAAACTCGCACTTAGCTGTTGATTCCGTTGTACGGTGGCTGTTGCTGGTCTCGGCGAGCTGTACTTGCGTCGTCTGTACCTGTGAACTCCAGAACCGTCGGCGTTTCTGGAGTTCACAGGTACAGACGACGCAAGTACAGCTCGCCGAGACCAGCAACAGCCACCGTACAACGGAATCAACAGCTAAGTGCGAGTTTTACTCCTGTGAATAACAGCATCTAGTGCAGTCATCTTGTCAATTACCTTTTATTTTAATTATGAAATTTGCTCAAACCATTAGACTATATATATATTAATTTCCCTGATGATGATCTCTTGACATCGAAACGCGTATGGCAATAGTGTCCATTATAGTGTTAATAGTTGTTGGTTTGTTCACTCTATATTCTAATACACTACACAGTATGCAAAGTTTTAAAATCTGAAAATATATGACACAACTATACCGCACTACTTTACCTTTGTCTAGCGGAACATTTAACAGATGCTTGCAGGGAGTAAACTTTGTATGACCCTTGATTTTTTCCTTGCACTGATCAATAACGCAGAATTTTAGAAATATATATTTGATTAGTAGCTACTTTGCCACGCAGAACAGAAAATTATTCGGATATTCACGAGCACAAACTCGATCATAAACATTTATGAATCTGTGGGACGTCAAGAAAATGGGTTTGTTCGAAGACAATTGAGTTATTTATTAATATTGCATGGCTTGAAGAAGGAACGTTTTAGAAATTTATTTAAATAACACGCTAACAAAATGCCTAATCTGTAATGATACAAGAATTACGTTGAGTAGCAGGCTTCATCTCAACTTTTGTTATGAAGTTCTCAAATCACTCACTAAATTATCTACGGCATTTCCGAACATTAACGAACTAACTGGCCATTTTTGATATTCCAAAGCTAGAAAAAGGGATTGAATTTATTTAGTAGCCCAATCTCATTTGAAGGTGATATTTACGGCTAAAAGGGTCTTGAACCCTGCCAGAAACCTACGAATAAATTAGGGCATCGACTACGCATATAACACATCAGAATTTACTACATAAAATCAGCTGTAATTAATTTGAACATGAATTTTGATATGTAAAACCTTCACTTACCAAACTACACACACACCACATATTAAAAAGACCCTAAGCGAATTCTATCGACAGCTATCATCAGTAACTCAGCACCATTTTAATAGAACACCACTTTTATTTTGAATGGACCCCACAACCGCAGTTACGCAAATTCTTAAGGAGAAATTACAGGGGGCGAAACATTTCAAACGTCATCATAATACAAATGAATAGCAGCACAGAAGAATATCGTAACAGACGCTTTCAAAAGAACAAAGAAAAAATGGTCTGCGTCGAGTACAACCACAAATATAACATCGAACCCGACAAAAACAGAAGTGCCAATGACATAACAGCGCCCCTAACTAAACAGCCGTCATAATTCTAAACAATGGTAACACGGTAAGCAGGCATGTAGAAGCACACCGCACGATGAAATCTGTGATGGCAGACGTAAATCATGGCGTTTAGACCGAAATAAAGGCTCCGTCCACTTCAGGCTGCGGTGAGGGCCACGGCAGTGAAGTACAGTGCCTCTGGATCACGCTGAATGTACTGCTGGCACACCTTGGCAGCATCCTGCAGTGTACAAAGCACCCATATTGGTACAATCTCACACTCGACAACCGATATCAACAGGAAAGACTAACACTGTTGAGGTAACGAATGTTACGCTGGTTCCTTTTTGCCAAAGCATGGCACACCCTCAGGACACAGATGGAAAAGTCACCAAATATGGAGAGTAGGTGTTAATATTCTGAACAAGCAGCTAAAAGGCTGAACAGAGAGCTAAGAATGTCTCAGCACAAAACAGCATCTTAATGGGAACAACCCGTTCTTCAAGTGCCTGAGCACTGCAGGTCCCAACTTTTTTCGTTGGCTTGATCTATAGACATTCGGTAGGACTCCTTGGACGAGGGATCGGCCCGTCGCAAGGCCTCTACCTGTACACAGGACAGCACAACGCAGAAAGACGTGGACAGACACCCATGGCTTGAGTGGGATTCGAACCCACGGTCCCAATGACTGAGCGGCACAAGGCCCACTGCGGACAGCATCTTACAAACAGACCTCAGTGATGAGACAAACTGGGCCATATATGGGGGAGGGGAGGAACACATACAAAATTTAGTTGCTAAGCCCGACATCGAGAGACCCACTCAGGTGATGATTCAGTGGCAGTACATACCGATTTTACCTATCGTAAGATGTCACAGTTTAAATTTATTTCCCATATGAAATGCAAATCATTTATATCAAATTTATTTCTACCAGTTTCTCATACTTAAACCGTGTTTCACAACCGAGTTGTCATTTGCCTGTGCGATGCTGTCCTCTAGGAGCAGTCTTCTGAATCAGAGAAAACATCAGGCAATGGCAGTCCAAATATGCATGTTTCCAAGTTCTGACAATGTTCATAATGCAGTATATTTTATAACATACCAGGGCATATAATTGTTACTTTATTTAGATGTGACACGTCATAAGCTAAAAATATAATGCAATTTTTCTTTTCTAGTCGCACACTACAGAAAAATCAGATGCGCCGTGCTGCAGAACTGTAAACGAGTGCCACGAACAGATCGTGTAAGATGTGATGTGGGCTTCTGCACAGACTGCTCTACACAGGCAGCAAATTGCCGAAGTATAACAAATCAACACAAGGCACTGTACATCCACTGCATCCTCACCATTATGAGGTGCGGGAGTCGAACAACAAGTCCGACAGCTGTAAAGCAACTACCAATACTGGTGAGTCTGTTATACAAAAGAAAAGTTGCTTGGCTTCAGTATGTATTGAGGTCGCGACGTTTTACTAGCACAACGGTCTCTTATTTGTCAAAGACATTATTATTAATTAAAAATTGTAAATAGGTAAACGTTGCATTTATAAAGTACAAAAAGGGAACTTACTTCCAGCAAAGTGTCTCTTGAAGTCGGTCCATGGTTTATTGGAAAAGATTTCCTGCCATCTGAAATCACATCAAAATCCAAATTATCACAGCATGGAAATTCTATAAATTAGATACGTAACTTCATATTCTGATAAAAATCGCAGCTTTCTATTTGGGCCTGAATAAAATACATCACGTTGCCAACAGTTTTGAAGTTGGGACACCAGATTCTGTGAAAGTGCCACTCGAGGCCATTAATACACATCCCTGGTGAGACAGTAATATCGTTCACAGGCATTACAATCAAGAGTCAACACTTCCTTAATGGGATAAGAAAGCTTTTGTGCCATGCATGGAAAATGTAACTGCGTGCGATCGCAGATCAAACTTGGGAATTCTTACCACGGACCACATATATTTCATCATCTACGTCATATGACTTACCGAGCTCATATAGGTCACCATCTTTGAACACAAAGGCCACAAAATGATAGCCAACGAGTTCATTCTCATCAGGAGCCTGTAAAAATTTCAACACAACAATAAATTAGCGGTAATCACATTTAGTCTGTACGAATCTCCCAGGTTAGGAACCACGACATAATACAGCGTGTAAAACCATACAATGAAACTTTCACAAAATACAGAACGTAAGGAATTTCCTTACTTTTGTCTGGCCCTCTAGTGCCAACTCCTTGTGGGTGTTTATAATTCCCTCGGCCTTCTGAAGCAGTTCCCCGCGATCTTCGGGGCTCAGAGCCTTTGAATCTTCCAGAAATTGCTTCAGGTGTCCATCAGAAAGCTGGATCCTAAACACACACATAACGAACACTTCTGAGTCTAAGCACGCGGACTGTAAACAAGATCGAGTTCTGGTCGTTGGCCTAGAGGGTGGAGGTGAGATAATAAATGGGAGGAGGCTGGTTAAGGGACGCTAACAGTCACACAGAACAAACGTGAGACGTGGAAAGAGCTTGATCTAAAAAGCAAGTTCAAAACCCCTCAGTAAAGACAAAGAATTCAAATTTTCTACTTACTCGTCAGTATTGTTTGCAATGCTGTGGATGAGGGCAATGGTCCCACAAGCATTTGTAACGACCTGCTTCAAGTAGAACACGTTTTCAGACACAGTTTGGCCTTTCTCATTAACTTCTGCTTCCTGTGTAGCCTTATGCTCCTCATACTGAAACCAGAAACAGGGACACCACTACAATCAAATATTTACCTCAAGAAAAATCATCTGTACCCTCTGTATCTTCTGCGTGCGATCGTACAGGCCTTAAACAGCCGACAGTTCCTCAGATGAACAAAGTTGCTGACATCTTACCCCCCAGACCCTGGCTGACACAACACCTAAGTCTTTCACGGCAAATATAAGGGTTTTGACACGTACCTTGTCAGAGCACGGGAAAAGCAACAGCACTGCCAAAACAGGTCTAGGCACTGTAGCGAGAAGATCTGGGTCCAGACCACACACATCCACCATCTGCCATTTCTCAGGGACACCAAGATTACGTAGGTACTGAAATAGGAATGTCAGCCGTGTGTCCAAATTTCCAACCTACATCTTTCATTTCATAAAACAGAGTTACTGACTCATTATATCTGCCTATGACTAGTAACTTTTTAATGACTCATGAAACTTGATATAAAAATCATAATGCTATGAGGCCACCTTATCTCTGTATAATTTCCTAACATTAACACATTCACTGTATAGCACAATTTCACAACATCTTATTCCCAAGTTGTTTCCATGTGTGTGTCCCCTGCATTACTTAATATAGGGACCTAGGTACTCAGCATCACATAGCGTGATCAGTTTCACGGACTGGCCACTTACCCCAAGGGACAATCACATGGGAGTATTGTAAGGAGGCTCAAATACATGGTCATTATATTGCTAAGTTGTATCCAAACTTCATTTTTTGGGCCACAGTATTCTTCTGCCCTAACCCAGAGAAGTAATTGCAAAGCTGAAACACTATGCAGGAGTCCATACAAACATTAAAAAATATTACATAACTTGCTTGCATTACAAAAAAAATACTGCAATTAATACAGAAAATGCAGTATGACTATTATTGGGTTAAAAACCCAAACGAAATACTTGACAAAGCAATAAGTTAAATGCAACGTTTATTACAGTGTCTGCTCTTACCTCATCCCATTTGGTCTTTGATTTTGCAATACCTTGCCTTTGTTGTGTAGGGGTAGACTATGCAAAAGCAAATATAAAATATTATCGTCCTTGTAGGCCATTAAAAAGCATCTATTATATGACAAGGTTACATTTTATAATTTTTTTGTTGCTGGAGTTGCAAAACAAAACGTTTTACGTGCCACTATTTTCTTTATATTCCTAAAAAGCAAACTATAATGAACTGGTAGGACACAAAATGTGGTTAGTGAATAATTCGTAGACTAACAAGGCACAGTGATGTATTTTTACTAAGCATCCAAGCAATGACGCCTAAATTCTGGAGCACTCACCTTGTTCATAACCTGCAACAGAAGTAAAAATGGGCAATTAAATTACGAATTTAAACACACAACCACACTAAAATATGCTACAGACATGAACTTACATCAGGATTAGATTCTAGTGGAAGCCACGACATACTGAATGAGATTCTGTTGCACTTTTATTGCGACGCACAATTTTTCCTGTACTACAAACACAACGCACAACGCTACCGGCAAAAGTATGAAACCGTTACAACAGGATTGGATAAACTGTCAAATGCATGACGTCATAAGAACTTTCTGGAAGGACAGGGCGGGAAAAATCAATAACGCAACCAAACCAAAGAAACTAAATGTCGCTACTTCAAACATAAACATCGCACAAAACATGCAGCAGTTGGTTACACCAGGGATATTAGAAGGGTTAAGCCAAATATTATTCTCTTTGATTTCGAGAATTATTTTGAGAGTAGCAATAACATTATTCAAATTTATTTTCAGGGCAATTAGATATCAGAAACAAACAGAAGTAATTTTCCATTTTTCTCAAAAATCAGTGTTGCAAAACCCTCCTAATTTTTAGTCTTTTGCTATATAGGAAACATATTTCTTCTGTCAAGGCTTGTATGAAACCTTATTGAATAAAACATAAAATACCAATTGCTAAGATAATTGTTTATCACTGTGATCAACACCCCAAATATGAAAATGACATCTCTTTGGCATATTGCGTTCTTATAATAGTCTCGTAGAAGTGGGCCGTGTTTTGTGCCTTCATCATTAGGGAGATGATTATTGCTCTGATAATGGAGGCAGTATGCGAGTCTGAAACGTCGGAATATTTCTACGAGATTTCACTGCACGATTACCCAGAAGGTTGTCATCTTTATACTCGCCGTCATGAGAACCTGAACTTTCATAACACCCGGATAGTTCACACGTAGTCAGTTTTCTTGGCTATATAAACTGTGGTGCATGTTGTCCAGAATACCTCAAATGTTGATTCGCGACAAATTACTTACAATCTGAGGCGGGTGGTGATTAAACAGCACAACATTAAATTATATTTGTGTGGACCCCCCCCCCCCCCCCCCCCCCCAAGCACCTACATGGTGTAAGACAAGTTTACATCAAACTGATTTTACTACTTGACACCTCCCATGCTTCTTGCACAGTTCACAACATTTTGGCCATTTCATGTCAATCTCTTTCCTCAGGAATCAGACAACTTCGACACTCTTTACATATCGATGTCTGATGTAGCTGTCGAGATATTTAAGTTCATATGAATTTATCATTTCCCCCCACGCATGCATCACGTCAATCTGACGCTTGATATGATCATACTACGTTCTTTCAGTATGTGCGTTGATCACACTTGTATGTGGTATCGGAATAAGTTTAATTCGATCTAACTGGTGAAGTGACTAAAGAGATTAGGAAACAGCCAGTTTGTTATCATGTCCTACAGCAGGCCCTGTATACCGTAGTAATTGTAGTTTTAGATATCTAGCACTATCTTAATCTACTTGCCCTCTACTTAAAAAGAGAGGCCCTCCCTCGTCACACGTCAGAAGGTAATGTAAGTCCCCCCCCTCCAATTCTCTGATCGCGTATTCAAGTTGCCCGCTTCCTGCTCAGCTGTGCCATTTGCGAGCACTCGATCTAATAGTAGATAAATATCCCGTGGAATCTGGTGGTTTCGTAAATGCTCGTCATTGTAGGCCTCCGAAATAAAACATTTTTACTCATTATGTTGGATAGATGTGCACGTGCATGAATATTAAGGAATTACTTCACTGATGACACCTTCAGGGACCCTAAACAAGGTATAGGACTATTCAAATGATTCATATTAAGGTCATTTGATGGAGAGGTTCAGGAAAATGTATGTCAGTTTATTTGCTTTTTATTTGACAGCTACATCGTTCTTGACAATGAGGTTTAACAAGCAAGAACTAACTACTCTAGCCACACAGCCATCTCAGAAATTTGATAAAGAGGGTGTCCTGTTTCTTCGAGAAAGACAGGAGGGTTTCTTCAGGCGCACTGAGAGTGAGTTTGCACCTGGTTCACAGGTTTCTTCAAGGGATTTATTTATAACCATTATATTTTGTTTTATAACATGCACTGTTTTATTGAGGTGAGGGTTTTGTTTCTAATTCTGTGTGTGTAATCATTTAACAGAGGGCAGTGTATCATGCCATTGAGGTTGCATAGGCTTAAGCATTGTGATTGAGCAGATGTAAGAAGAATTAATTTGAGCTGAGATTCAAATGAGCTGTTATTGGTAAGGAGTTTCCCTGATTTTATTTTGCAACCACATGAAAGGCAGGTGGCATAAATTTATAGTAATATTCAGCAGATGGAACAATCCATGAACTGTACCTCCAACTTTTATTTATGTAAATATTTTAAGTGGGAGAAGAAACAGAAAGTAGTGATTTTTTGCTGTTCACAACTAATGTCATATGTTTCAATTTTTGGAATGCCTAGTAGTTGACTTCTCAAGGCAAACTGACTACATTCAAGTCCACCCTTATCCTCTCTTAATCAGAAAACTTTGATGATGTTACATACAAGGAAATGAGAATGCTGTGGCACAAAAGTACTCATATAATTAGAGATGTAAGATGTATAAAGTATGTGCTGTTTGTAAGTAGCTACAAGCGAAGATGTGATTATTGTTGCTTGTCTGACAGTAATGAGCAAATAGGTAGAGTGTTGAAACCCTGTCATTGACTTCTACCAATTGGGAAAGATTTGACCACAACTTTAAATATAATTTCCGAGTGTGTATCTTTGCATCGAGGTACTTTCTTTGCATTGTCAGGTTTTTATTTCTCTTTCTTTCCATTTATACTTTCATGATCAATCATACTTTTAATGTTTAGCAAATATTAATATATTATTATTAATTTTCATTTATACCTAGTTATTCTGTGCTCTTATTGACAAGATGAATATCTGTTATCTGCTACAGGAAATTATACATGTTTAAAAATTTAATATTTATGTAGAAACCAAGGTAAGCTACAGCTTAATAACTGCAAGAATAGCGTACAATTTGACATTGGATGCTAATGATGATTTTTTGAATGTTGAAGCATATTCAGTAGATTAAACAAGGTTACTTGGCCTAATTACTAGAAATGTGGAGTTGTAAAAGACTTAATATTAGTACATAAAATGTAAGATAGTAAGTCAGAATGTATGAAGCAGTTTGAAGTAAACAGAAAACCAAACCTTGACCCATATTGCCTTGGAATGCTATGGTTCATTACCTGCTTAACAAAAACTTCATTATGTACAGTGTATGAAAAGGTAATAATACCAGTGCTTTCTTTGTGGTGGTACACACTGGTATACAGTACTACCATTTGTACTTAAAAAAACAGAAAAGTGATTGATGAAGTACACCAATATTGTCGGACATAACCTTAAAGTACAGCTGCCTTTTTTTTTCTATGAAGAAAAGAATGTTAGACATAACCTCAAAGTACCACCACCTTTTGTCTATAAAAGAAGCACTAGGTAATATTATAACAGAACTGAATTCACTGTATAGATTAATCAACGTCTAACATAACATATTAATTTGAGTACATTTTCAAGAATCTTTCAGACTAGAAGCTGCATGTTTGTTCCCAGATTCTTTTATCTAATCTAAGGGGGAAATACTGTGCTGTCACTTTTCTATGTTTGTCATTTTTGACGAAGTTACACAGAATGGAAGTTTGTTGTCCCATTTTTGGCTTTAGGGGTGTGTGTTTTTCTAAGTGAAGTATATACAGTCATGTTTATTCTTTTGATAGTTTCCAGTAGTACATTAATAAAATTTAACTTTTATGACCAGTCTGTCTATGAAAAATGTTTGTAATTTTATGGTAAATTTGGAAGTTAACTTAATAGTTATGGGTGTTTACATTATATTAGACTTCAGCTCTGTGTGATTTGAGAGGACGTGACATGGAGGTGGCCGTGCATTATTCCTGTGTATGCGTAATTTGTAACTGTAAGCATGAGATTATCATCTCTGATACTACCATTCCACTGTATAAACTATTCTAGTGTCTTGACCCCCATTGTAGCTATGTGTAAATTTGACCTGTAGAATTAGGTTGATATTATTATGCTGACATTTGCTTCAGAATGTAAATCTCTGTTTATGCTGAGATTGAATACCATATTTTCTTGCATAATTTGTGTAATTACATGTATTTATATAGACTACTTTTTGTGTGCATGAAATAAAAATGAATTTATCCCTGTCAGCCGTGAAGACATACGGGCAAGTGGGCATTTTTCTTCTTTACCTCAATACTAGTCAGAGGTAAATGGCCAGCTTTATATTATAACCCCTACCCTTGGAAAAAGAGCACCCTCTTTGCCCTTTCAATAGGCGGCTTGGGCGGGCATAAATTTCAGTATGGACGTAGTGGTGAAGATAAAAATGCCTGCTTCTGTCAGGAATCAAACTCAAGACTTCCCGTAACCTTGTCACTGCATTAATGCAGCTACTCTGGCTCACTTATAAGAATAAGTGCATATAAATTATTTAAGAAAATGTGGTATTGTGTTGATCCTGCTCGGACTATAAAATATAGTCTGTTGATATTACCAGTATTTGATGTGCTCGTGTTGTTGGAAGAGACGACCGCCTTTATGTATCTTTCTTTTGCAGCCCCGTATTGCTTGTAATTGACATTATTTTCAGAAATGGCATGATTACCATCCCTCTTATATGTGCATTGATACATGGGCTTGCTGGTCAGACAAAGCATGCATCATGTTACATTGCTTTGTGTGAGAGCAGGGCATGTCCAGCCAGATATGCTGTGGGTGTGAACAACTTTGGCAACCAAAGAAAATAATAGCGTACAGAGTATGGATTAAGTACCTTGAGTTCATCCTACTTGTGAATACCTGGATAATATATTAAAATATGCTCCTTTCATCCTAACTCCTAATATCCATCATCTTCTTTGTAACCATGTAGAATGAATGATGATTTTGATAACATTGATTTAGAACTCATTACAAAAAGTACCAGTTTCTGAGTTCAGTGCGGACATACATTGTACTTCTAATTTCTTTCTGTGAGGAGAGTTCTTTCTGAATCTCTGAGGAGTAAGTAGGGGGTATCCCAGGTCTAAACTCTGAAAAGAGGCAATTTTTTGTGTATGCATGTGTGGCATTTGTGCAGATGGAGAGTGTTGAACTCTGTTGATTAGAATTATATCTATAAATTGTCTCTTTTAGTCGAGCATACCATGTTCATTCTGCTTTTGTTAACAGTACTAATTGCTGCAAGAGTGAAAATGTTAGCTTAAAGGTTTATTTGGGTGGGAGGGGGGACTAATCCTTTCATTTTGTGCGAAGCAGTAAGGTACTTGTAAGTCAACAAGAATTAAATTTTGCCTTCAGCCCTTCTTACCAAGCACCAAAGATAGAATTGTAGCAGTCTGAAGTGTCATTAAATCAAGAACAAATAAATACATTTGTCCCACCTCTCAGTATATGCAAATATGTGGGTTCATCTGCTGGACATGCCCAATTTCCTAAGTGTCCTTCATATTTTATATGTATGACTTACTCTCCTTGGCTGTGTATCTCTGGGTCAGTGGATTTGTAAGGAAAATGATCTGTTTGAGTATTATTATGTTTATTTAGTCACTTCAAGGTATGAGAGTTCATGTTCTCGTGGCACTGAGTATAGAGGTGACAGCGTTCTGGGATGATGTGCCGTGTAGTGTCATAGAAGGTGACTGACAATTCAGAGGTGTGTACTGCCTCCATTATCAGGGTGATTGTCGTCTATCATTATCACCTAGATGAAGGAGGCAGTGTGAACCTCTGAAACTTTGGCCAACTTTGACGAGAACGCGTGGCACAATATCCCAGAAAACACCCGTCTTCACTTCCAAGAATGTTTTTTTGGCAGACATTTTAGTATAAATCCACTGACATTTTTAATTGTGCAATTAATGAAATACTGGTATATTGTGAGTTATACTTATGGAATTCTGATGAGTTTAAATCACAAATGAGTAATACACTGAAAATTATTTTAAAAAATATGCCCATCTTCTGGTTAAGTTTCGTTGTTGACTTACATTTCCATAAACATCTTGACTTCTTTGTAATTACAGCACACTCCATATAATATGTATGAAAAAGGAAATATTAATAAAAGGCCTTTTTAATTTTATCTGAATATCACAGGCCAGACTGAATTTTTTCTTGGGCCATCCCTGCCTTAAAGTGAATGGCATGTGGTAATCATCAGATATGCCTGGGGTTATACAAATTTTGTTGAACTTTGCCCTTTGAGGTATATGTAATTTACATGATGTTTTGCAAGCCAGTTTTCTCTCATCTTCAGGTGATTGGGCATGTTACTGAAAGACAAATTTTATTTAAAAATTTCACAGATTTATTGGGGTTAAATGCTGATGTGGCTCCATTTTCTGGGACCTGGATTCACATTGGCAGGTTTGTTATAGTTTTTTGGTTTAACTTCTAATCAAAACATCCCCCAAATTGTACTTTGTTCAGTTATAGAAATATTGAAACTACAAGGGACATGAACATTGATATTTGTACTCTTCTGTTGGATGTGAGGGCAGCAACACAAGTCTTGATGTGGGATCCACTATTTCATTAATTGCACTATATTACTATCATCTGGTCTTGGTAGCAATAAATTGTGAATGTTTACTGTTCCCCAGCAGACATAAGTTTGAATATCTCGGTGGACGCAGATCGTCTTGATGTTCTACTGTACTCGCCCTGAGAGCATCTTAGTTAATTAATGCAGAAACATTAGTTTCTTGGGTCTTGTAAACTTTCCAGGGAAAGACATCAAAAGAGGGAAAAGGTCAAAGAGTCTTCGGGAACTGAGCTGCTATAGCGGAACAAGCAAAGGTACTGACATTGATACGCACAAATACTCACATCTTGCACTCATGGGGGTTTGAAGTCACACTAACGGACATGACAGGATGTAGACAGCCATAGTGCAGATAATTCTGTAGCACACATGTTTGAGATGGTATTCCCAAAACGTGCTCAACAGCCAGTGTACTGTCTAGCTGTTTTATAAAATAACGATTTATTTAGTTTTTGTATTTTCAGTTCAGAAGTAGTTATAAACATATAGGTCTAGGTTAAAGTTCGGAGTAGTGTGGGATTGTGTGGTGTGTAATAAATGAAAACAGTAACTTTAAATAGGAGGCAGAAAAATTTGCAGTACATTGGGAATTGAACACATTTTGGAAATAAATTCAGCTAAATCTTTTGACGTGTGACTGTGCTACTTTCTCTAAAGGTAAAGAAAGAGACATTTCAGTAAAGAAATTCCCTGTGTCGTGTTGAGGATAGATATTATTATTCCGACTCTACTTTTTTACATCTGTTTGTAGAAGTTATGTAACTTTTATTCATGGTTAGGAATCAAAAATTCTCATTGATTTTTTTTTTCTAGTTTGGATAATTTATGAAGAAATTTAAGCACATTTCAGTCGTGTGTCTGAAGGGACTTTTTGCTACTGTAATTTGGGTGGCTTATTTGTTGTTAACTACTTGGTGTATAAAAAATATTGATTTTGTTCACTTCATTATTTATTTTATGCTGATCTTGGAGTGACAATGGCAAGTAGTAATGCAAAAAATGTAATGAATTGACACAGATATCTGAAATACCACTGTTTTAGTGTATCCCCTTAAGTGCAGTTATTAGTGTAGAATTAATTAGTGTAAATTGTACAGTGTTGGTGAGTTGTATATATAATGCATGGTTCTACTGTATGTAATATGCATGATTTATGTTGTAACTAACATAACTTCTTGTTTGCTTCTGTGTCTTCATGTCCTTTTATCTTTGCACCATTTTGCACTTACTTATTAACCGCTCAGTAAAAGGTAGAAATCATCACATTTAATGTCATGCTCTAAGGTGTAAGTAGGCACAGAGTGGAGGTATCTGTATATGTTACGAAGTCTTAAGTATTAATTTCATGGTATTTATTTTTCTGTTCATAATTTTATTGGTATTACTGAAGTATTAATTTTGCCAGGAATATTGAGTATATGGTGAAGTGATGCTTTTAAAACCTAATTCTGAATATACTGATTTTATTGCCATTATTATATAAAGTACAAGCTGTTGTGTGTTTTTTCTGTCTTATTTTGGTTCTAGTAAAAATATATTATAATAATGTCTTTAAATTGAACTTGGATCTTCTGTGTTCATACAAATTCCATACGACTACAAAGGACTTTGCCTTATAAGAGGATGCTTACGTTACTGAACTGCTTTCTTACAGGGAGCTACTCCCTGTAGCTTTGCAGTAACTTGTTTGTACAGAAAGTAAGAAATCAAGATCAGGTCCCCAGTAGAGGTTATGACAGAAATTGTTTCCTTCAATCAAAATATGAAGATTCCCAAAAACTTTGTAACTTTGTAGGATGTGAGGTTTCCACTGCTGTATGTGTCTGTTCATTATTGTTTGTTGCAGTGTCAAAATCTTGAGTGAAGTATAGCCATTATCTGTATGACAGACAGAAGACACAGCCATTTGGGATGCATACTTAATTTTTGCATAAAAAAATCATAATTTTTTGTTTTATCTTTGTTCCCACTAGAGATTCTCTATTTACAGGTTGTCTCTCTATTTATAGTGTAAATTAATGTAATCGTCAGTAGCAGGACATGTAGCACATCTGAAGAAACAGGTAATGCATAGTAAAGGTTGACTGGAAAACCTCTCATGCTGAGACATCTTGGGAGACAGAAATATGTGATAGAGGATAATATTAAAATTTATATCAGGGAAACAGGCTGTGAGCATATAAAGTGAATTGATACTCCTGTGATTAAGGCCCTGTGATGGGCTCTTGTGATTATAAAGCTTCAGTTTCCATAACAAAAGGGAATTTCTTGAATGGTTATTTATTTATTGCCCGAATGGGGTAGACTGTGAATCGGGAGTTGTTTTGGCTTTCAGGGTCAGCATATTTAATTGTTGTGGTTTGTGCGCTGTATAACATAGCTTTTGGGGTTCCAATTTTCTAAGGAATGGTGTGCGTATGTACTGGAATTTATACCCATTTCTTAAAATGTGCTTTTCATACTGGCTTTATGAATTGTGATGTCTTTGAGTATCACTGTGATGATGTCTGGCAAAATACAACTTTCTTTTTAAGAATTTTTCCAGTGGTTCATTTTTGACAGTTTCCTGTAGTGAAGGGTGAAAAACGTGAAAAATTGGGATCTTGTGCTGGAACTGTATGCAGCATAATTGAGCATCAACTGACGATTTTGATAGTCTAGTATTCCTGTTACGAGGAAAGATGCTTCTGGCATTTGGCTAGCAGTTAAAAGTGGAAACGTGAACTTCGTAATGGCAAACATTAAACTTGAAAGAGGTGTTCTTGATTAGGGATTAACTGGCTGTCTTTTATTAAAGAGTCTGTGAAGTTTATTTATTTGTTTTTTATTTATTTATGGTTTATTTAACAATGTTTCAATTGATATGATAATGTTGAATAATGAATTGAGAAGGTGTGGTAGGAAATGCTTACCTTAATTACAGTACTATCCCTGGAATTTACCTGTAGGAACTGAGGAAAACTACGAAAGTGTTAATCCCCTTAGGTAGTCTCTGTGCTGAGATTTTAACCCATAACCCCCCAAATATGAAGCAGGGATGCTAATCTCGCAACCACAATATCCTGTAATATATGAAGTTATGGTTATAAATTAGTATGTATTTGCAGTACACCTCTTTACTTTTGCTAGAATAAAGCTTAATAGTAGAAGACCGGGTGATCATAACAGCGTTCACATGGCCACTTTGAATGACATTTGAAGACATTTGCATTCTTCTGTTTAAGCAAGATTAATGCAAGTTGTGTACAGTTGTGTGGTGGTAGATGCATAAAATTATGTGTAGAATTTTTTGATGATTTGATGATACTGTATGGTGTGTGAGGTCATATAGCATTGTATGAACTATGAGGATATTCATATGCAATTGGGAAGGATTTAAGAGGAACAAATTGTAACCTTCTTTAATGTAGTGTTCAAGTATTCATCTAAAAGACTTAAGATGACCATGGCAAATCTCAGTCATAATTGTACTTCAGCGAGTATCTGGCACATTATTCCAGAGCCAGCTTGTTTGGTGAGTTTTGTTAAAGATATTGTGATATCTATTGAGAACCACTGGGAAATATAAATGTGAAAGTAGCAAGACGTAGCATTCAGTCCTGTAGCATACTTTACTGTTAAAACATTGTGCAGGCTTTTAATGTTTTTGTTTTAAGACTTTAGGGATATTTTTGCTTCTGTATTGGTTTACATTGCCGTGTGTCCAACAGTCAGTCTCGAGCGATGGTGTCGGTTGAGAGGGAACTTGCTCTTCTACTTCAAGTCTCGAGAGCAATGGTCAGAGCCCCTAGGCGTTATCATTCTGGAACAGTGTTCCATCAAAGTTGACACGCCCACTGCAGAGGGTCCATATGGCTTTCATCTAGGTGAGTAATTGTCTACAGTCACAGAATAGGATAAGTGAAGGTAGTCAGCCCTGTTTTCCCAGTGGCTCTGAAATGACCTTGATGAGTTTCTTGTGTGTAGTATGGTGCAGATATTCCCGAGTCTGAAAAATGACTTCCTGACTGCTGTTAGTGATTCTGTCCTGTATAACCTAAATGGATCAATGGATGTTCATAAATTTTCATATCCAGCAAATATTTCATTTTAGTACAAATGAAATAGGTTAAAAATAGATCATTTTATACAAGGATTGAAATGCAAAATAAGGCCTCAGGTTCACCTCTTAGCATATTAAACTTGTTTTCTGAGTTTTTTTGTTGATTTACATTACTCTACAAGATTTTCAATCCTGCTAAATCTGTAAAATGAAAGAATGTTACCACTAAATAGAAAAGTTCAATAGTTGGCATTGAAAGTAGTATAAAAGTTATGTAATAAAAGTATCTCAAAATTATTTTCATCTGGAAAACAGTTGTAGTATAGTTATATTGTCTTATGTGTGTAATTAAAGGTAATTCTTTAATTCTTGTTTTAAATGAGAATTAGGTTGTCTGGACATGCATGACAGAAGTTTGGTTAGCTACTTCATTTTGAAAAACATACTGAATCATTTACATATTGCATGAGTCACTACTATTATCAGACAGTTCAGTATGTCGCTTGTATATACGTAGCTCACAGTATTCTAGTGAATGCCCAGTATGTGGCAGAAGATTCTCAGACCATTTGTTTTTGGTAAGATAGCCAACATTTCAAAACATTTCATCTTGCAGAAATCCCTTCTGTGCCGTGTTCTTTCAGCATAACTTTACAGACATTAACCATTGTCTTGTTTGTAATATTGCTGGATCATTCCATTAAAGTGAAGTTAAGTGCTTCCTGAAGTCTTGGGTAAATATAATTTTGAAGCATGCTAAATGGAGAACCAATAATGACAACTCTACAGACAATAGTATTATGCAGAGAGAGAGATGAAATAATGACAAGAACATTACAGTCAGCGTGTTATGTTTACTAATGCAACATGAGTACCTGATCAAGTGGAGAATATGGGGATTGTAAGAGAGCTAATCTGTGTTATTTGTATTCCAAAGGTTGTGTTTGTAGGTGTGCATGAGTGGGAGGAAGGCCTTGGCAAGGACAGAAAGTTTCAAGGTCATAAGGGTAGGAATACAGATGTTCTGATGTCCCACGTACAGCAAATTGAAAATGTCAGACAGAGGACATGTATATGCAATAATGTGATCTCTCTGCTTTCATCATTAGGGTCAACTTCTACCAGACTATTTGACACAACATCTCAAAAGACAGCTTTCTTCATACTCACACCCTTGTATAATTGATTAAGCTGTGTTATATTGGTAGTGTTTGATGGAGGACTCAGTCAGCATCTTGCAGCATATTCAGAAGGGGAGAGGGATGCATGGCTGCAAGCCATCCAGCTGGCAAGCTACGACTGCATGCGTTCCCAGCTGCTGGCATTGCAGCAGAGGATGGAGCTGTGTCGGGGACAAGATCCAGATTTGGATGTCCACATGTTGAGGATACGAAGGGGCAACACTGTTGGTAGGTTCCTTGTTTTAATTAATAATATTACATATGTGGTTTCAACGTCACCATGGCACGGTGTGTCCAGATGTGTGACAAAATGCTGAGGAAAAATTTTGGACCTGGCCGGCACGAACAAAATGAATTGAGTAAACTGATAAAAATAATTTTTTTCTGCTGTTTCCCCAGGACTGTCAGAGAAGAAGGACGTGATTAGTGGGGCATGTAGCAGATAAGAAATGTGTAAAAAAAATTTGGAATAAGGAGGTGTGAAAGTTGACCACCTAAGTGTGTTTATGTGAGCCAATTTCAAGAACAGGTTACATTGAAGAAGAATATTGTATATTATTCTCAAAAAATATAATGATAAATTATTTCCTAAAACAGCTTTTTAAATTATGTATGTTTCTACCAGATCCATCTGAACTTCCCCTCTGTGAAATTTCGTTGGCGTGTGACAACCTCCTGTGTGATGGACATGGTCGTCCACCCAACCCTGTGTTGGTTGTTCATGTGTACATTCCTACAGACGCAGTTTGGGTCAAGTATGCCAAAACTGAGGTGATCGAGGTAAGATGTTTGTGATTATGAAACTGCATTTTGAGTCATGGTAGCTCTTTTATTGAATCGACTGGCAGACGGTGAGGCTTGATTCCTGGCAGAGATATTTATATATTCGCTGGATGTGGAATGGCTCTGAGTCACAAAGCTTTCTCTCCATTTGGCACTATTGGAATGTTCTTGGCACTAGACTAGGTGAATGGTCAGCATCATGCCCTGGCCATGCTTTACCCCAAGGGTAAGTACCCCTGTTTTTGTTAGATAGGATGTTGGGTTAGCTTCAAAGCAGGTTTGGATGCAGAGGCTAGGAGAAAAATCCTTTGCCCTTGCGGGGGATCAATCAGTAATCAGACCCTATTCTGACTTAGCTGTCCTAGCTCCTATTATGGTGTAGGTTATGTAATTTTAACTTTTACATGCATTTTTGTTCTACATATTTATAAGGATAATATTATTTGTGGTTTTCAGCATGGTAGTAAGTTTCAAAGATACAACTTTTTATTGTGTCTTCTGAGTTCAGTATGGATGTGTGTGTGCACTGACATCAAGACATCCAAAGGTGATGGATGATTCTCACTTTATTTCCACAGAGGAGCAGTAACCCAGGCTTTCTCAACACGGTAACGTTCCGAGCCAGTGATGGTCTGAGCAGTGATACACGCGTTCGACTTACAGCGTATGATATGCGTGAACACGTATCTCAAACAGCAACGCCTATTGGATCGTCTGTGGTAACATTAGGTGCAGTCCAGGAAACAGACAGACTCCGCATCCCATTGCTCTCTCCTGCTGGTACCACAGTTGGTTTTCTCACCCTCACAGTGTGGAACTTGGAACCTGAAGACAAGGGTGGTAGCACTGAGTCTACTCCATGCAGAAGTGTACCTGAACACGATATAGCTGTAGTAAGTAATAATGTTGTGCTCGTAATTTTGTTTGGTTGACCATATTTTAGGTAAAGAAAACTTTTATGACAATTGTAGATGGTATTTACAGATATGCAAACTGTTCTTTTTTCTCATTTCCAGCCCACAGTTGTTTTGTGTTACATATTACTAGATGTTTTACTTTGGTTAGAAAGTCGTATAAAAGTCGGGATTTGCAGGTGTATTCCCATCGGAGGTCACAGTCTCTGCCTCCTCGACTTGGCACCAAGCTGAAACTTCCACACCAGGGCCAACTTTGTGTCCTGTTCGCCAACCCACATGTGCACACATACCGTTTTCACTCTGGTCTTGGTGGTGATATTTATGTTCATGAGGTTATGGCAGAAAGTAAGCTGTGTTTCCTGTTTCCACAGCAGTTGCTGTAAGTACTGCTTTTGTTAATTTGGAGGCATTATTTGTTAAGTATGAAGTTAGTCTGTATAGCACCGTTGTTCCTAAAGCACTGTTTTTATTCAGTCTGCGTTCGAACACATCTCCTCAAGGTCCAGACTTTACTATCTGGCTTATCTCGACAAGATGCTGGCAGTAGTAACAGTGCTGACCCGATATTAAAAAAGTTCATAGAAAATGAACTGCATTATCAATATAAATTTTCTGAAATTCGATATTAGGTAGTTTTACTAATATTTGTCGACACATTCTAATTTTGGTCGAATTCTGAACAATGTTAGGAACTTTATATGTGTATTGTAACCAGTCTGAAGTCTGAGAACACATCTTGAACAGAAATCAATGGGATTGCGCACATATTAGATTAAATAAAAGGAACAAGAGAACATGTGTGCAGCATTGTGTTACCACACTTCTCTTAACGGACCGAGCCATTGACAAAGGTCAGGAATTCCTGTATGGGGAAACACTGTCTGGGCAATTCCTACCACTCACCAAGTTCAGAGGTCAAATTCACCAGAATTTTTATGCTATTCATTTCCTAAATTGTTTGTTATTCATGTTTAACCATCAGGTTCTAATGCCAGAGTGTCAGTAGGAGTGTAACTTACAATATATCTTTATTTCTTTTTTCGGTACCCAATCCGTCTCTCTTCTGTTCAGACAAATGAACAAGAGGTAAATATTTGTATTTACTGCGTTGTTTGCAGAGCTCTGTGGATCCAGGAAGAAAAGGAACTTCTTCAGGAAGTGGCAGGAATGGGTGAGCTACATGAACCTTGGCACACACGTCAGGTAGAACTGCTAGACCGACATCTCCATCTTTTGCACCTCTACTCACAAGCAAAAGAAAATCTTGAGGCACACAAAGGTATAAGCAGATATTGATTGTGGTGAAAATAATTTGACAACTCTGAGGGTTCATTACAAGTTTTATCTTTCTTGGAATTGAATGTGTAGTTTGCGAGAATCTGTACAAATCTGCTAAATAGTTATTCTGTAGAATAAGCATTGCAGCGTGTGTTGTGTTTATGTCAAGTTTGCATCAGCTGGTGTTTGTAGGGAGTCACTAAGCCACGCAGATGTGAATGTGTCAAGATATTTATTTTCTTCTTACAGGAAGTTTTTTTAAACCAAGTTCCCGTAAAAATGATCGAATGCTAGAATTTGCTCCCGTAAATCTGCATCTGCAACGGATGTGGGTTCAAAATGACACACTAAGAAAATGTGGCTTTTATGATATCATCACCGTGGGAGCCTTCACTGCCCACTCACATAAGTCAAAGAATGGGGGCCTTATAAAGTAAGCAGTGTTATTTACTAAGGAGAAAAAAGCATGCTGAAGGTAGCGTTTTAAGTACGTTTTATATCACAAATGTTTTCTGCTCACAGACTGCTGCAGCAGCTAAAAGAATCACCTTCAAGAACAAATCCAACTCTGCAAGGACCAAGCAAAATATTAATAGCGCACGATGCCATACAAGTGAGTGAGGAATGGTAACTTCCATGACCCCTTGTGGGTTAATAAATATTACATAGACTTCACAAAGCTTACCACAAACCTGCAACCAACCACATTTGCTAGCAGCACAACGGATGGGTGTCATTTGAAAACTCTAATAAATTATGAAAGAAAGGTTAAGTTCGGTTAAGTACAACAGTTATTCAGTTTGCCTTGGGCTGCCGAAGTGATAAGTTTGTCAGACTGCGCTGAGCACAATTTTATTTTCGTGGCATTAGGAAAAGAATTAATGAACTGAGTTCTTGTTTCAGGCTATTAAACAGCTGCGTCAGGAAGTGGTAGATGGAATGAGGGCCCTTATGAAGTTGGCTAAAGAGAAGCAGACTGCTGGAATGCTCCCTATTTGTGAGGATATGATATCCAAGGTTTGTGTTGAAAGGCAAAATATTTTCTGACAATTTTTCATTTATGTATTTTCAATCAGTGTGGATGGTGTCTTCTTCCATGTTAGTGGAGTAAACACTGGAGAGTGACGGACGTTGCTCTATAGTAATCAGTACTTGTTTATATTTTTTTCCCCTTCTTTTCTTACAGATCTTTTACAGAAATATTTTCTGAACTGTTCTGAACATTTTAATATTTTTGAACATGAGGGTACATCATCATAGTTTCTTTTATTGTTTTCACAATTTTGCAAACTGTAGTTTTTGGCTTATAGACACGGATTCTTCTAAGCCTGTGGGACCCAGGGCTTGTTGAAGAAGCTCTGTCCTTTGTAGAGGAACACAAAGTTTCGCAACCTATACCTGAAGACCCTGTTGATGGAGAGGATGGCCCACGCAGTTTGGAATTTCGACATCCGCAAGTACTTTCTCCATACCGGCGCATCACTCAGCAACTTAATTTTGATATGAAGTCACCTGATATAGATGACCTTGTCACCCCAGACAGTCCGCACTGTACCCGAGTTTTCTGGAGCCTTCCACCCAACGGAACAGCTCACAAGGTGGCAGATGCAGACACTGCTTCCATTACAGCATTGAAAAGTTATGGGTCCAGATCAAAAGATTCCCTTTCAGGGAGTGAGACACAATTTGAAATTTTTCCAGATTCTGAAGAAGGATCAAAAGATGGTTCAGACCAAAATGCAAGGGATGAAAATGAAGCGGAGGAGCTGATGAATAATCAGGCCAATCAGGACAGATTAGGAAATTGCAATGACGTGTCAGATGTAGAAGATAGATCAATAGGAATGTCCAATGGTTTTGACTGTGACCTAGGTCGAAGATTTTTGGATACACAGGCCATGTGTAGTTCTCCATCTGCTAACTACTACAAGCCCACGGATGAACCCGAACCATGGGATCTCACACAGCTGAACATTGAAGCTAGTGTCATGTGTCTTGTTAGCAAGGTCAAGTTTCTTTGTGGACGTTGCGGTAGCCCTGCCGTGCGGCTGAGGTCCTCTCAGCGTGGGATGGGAAGATCACGTAGCTTTCGTGGTGGTCTCTCGACTCAGGCTACTGCAGATGAGGGCAGTGGCAAAGATTCTGTGGTGACAGTTCAGCCAACAAGTACCAATGGTGGAAGTAATATTTCAAGCACAGGTGACATTATAGAAAAAAATGCAAAAGAGAAGATTGAGGACAAATCTCAAAGGCTGGAATCAATTGGACTGTCAACTAGTATGAGTAGTGATGACGTGATAAACAAGGCAGTGGACACGGTGCAGAAGGCTGTAAATGGTGCTGTAGGGAGGAACTGTTCTACTGTACGCAACAAATTTACCGAAGGCTTAGACTTTGCTTCTATCGTGGATTGGACATGTGAGTTGCGTCCCAGCATGAGGAAACTTCGACAAGCCATGGATGGTCTGTTGAAGACCGCGAGACTCACACACAGTGTGTTTCGAGTACAGGAGGATGTGCGAGGTGCACAGAGAGCTTGCAACGTGCGTTACCGTCGAGATGTCTGCTTTTCACAGGCTGTGAGTTCAAGTAATGTTTAAACTTAATAGTAGAATAAATTGTAGTGGTATTTCTGTATTAATTTATTAGTACTCTTCAGATATCATTCAGTTCAGTCAGGTTTGGATTGTCCAAATATTCCTGTCTTCCAAATTTTTCTGCTATATTAAGTATATTTGAGGTACAGTATCTCACTGTCGTAGATTGTCTCATGGCTTTTCCTGTTTTGTGTCATCCATTTCCTGATTCATGGCTTTAGTAAATGATGTCATTAATATTATCATTGCAGAATAACTTCAATGATTGGTGCTGCATTAGTAACATATAAATTGAGTAGTATTGAAATTATCATATTATTTATGAAATGTGATCTTTTATTTTGAAGGAAGAACAAAAATTACAAGAATTTGGAAACATTTTGATAGTAAAGCATGTGGATGTAAGAGGGATGAATGATTGGAGAATTAAATGGGAAGTAGAAAATTAGTAGAAAATTTTGTGATTTTGTGCTTCTTCAAGTATTGGTAAGCAACTGAGACTACAGTGGGCTAGATATATACTTGTGTGAAGCAAACCAGGTATATTTTTAAAATGTTGGCAAAACCTTGTAGATGGTTGCCACACGGAAGTCTGAGAAGGAAGTGGGCCAAGTAATTCTGCATTTGTTTCTAAAAAAATATTAATGTGCATCTTCTGGCAGCTGACGTCTCTTGTAGTGGGGCTGATGGCCAAGCTGTGGTGCCAGAAGCCAGACCCCACATTCCTCATGGTGCTTACAACGCTCGGACCTCTCATCTCGTTTGAGGGGCTACTGAGCTACTGTGGTGATGAGATTGATATGTGGGGGGACATGGCTGTTGCTGTTGAGGACCTCCTGACAGTGACCTTCACCCTCACTAGGTGCACAAACAGCAGCTCCAAGTAAGTATAGAGCAGTAGGAAAAGTTAACTCAGTAGTAGTGTGTTGGAGACAAGACATAAGTGCTTGTTATGCATTACATATAACAGCATGGCGAAAGAGAACAGTTGTGGGATCCATAGTCACGCTGAGAATATGGGCTTTCTTATTGGAAGACTATCTTATGCGATTGGTATCAGGGATCTTTTAGGTCCTGCAATCAAATGTTGGAAGGAAAAATTAATCTTGTAGGAAGATGATTGTTTTCCAGGATGTTGTACTGTGTAATCTGGTAGAACTTTACTGATATTTTAGAGGTGCCTGGAAGACGGTCATCTTCATACTCACCACTGTCAAAATTTGGAAGTCTCTCCTAATCTTGTACTTCATAAAATTTGCACTTTTTCAGGTATGTACATTGCTGTTGTCTTTGTAGAAAGTATTGAACTTGAAGCTTCCATATGTAATGTAGCATGAAACTCATCTCACTTATTTTCAGTGAGAATTGTGAATGTGACTTCATTTCTTTCCCACGGACTAAAACTATCTTAGCTGGAATTAAGTTGAAGGTTCAGTATTGCTAATATTGGAGCTTGCCATTTGGATGCAGTCATGATCAATTTCCATTCACTTCTCAACATTACAACCTGTCTTCCTGTCCCCCATTCATTACTTTCTAATTCATTAAAATGGCCACTTCAAAGAAGTTTACTGGTTGTGCTGTCTTACAGATCCTGTTTACCATCTTCACCACAGCAGCATCCAGTTCCACGTGTCGTTGGTTCCCGTTCAGCTCTCACTGTTGTTCTTCCCGTGCCGGACTCCGTGCATTCTATGCTACCTCTCTCACAGTCATCGAGGTCTTTCACTGTAACTCCTGTTTTTTTCAATGTTGGCATCAATGAGATGGCAACATTGGCAGAGAGTCTGGGTAACACCAGACCTCAGGACAAGAGCAATCTTGACAATTATGAGAGGGTAAATGAGTACTACCACCGCTTCCGAAAGCTTCATCTTCCAGCGGATCTCCCAGGACAGAGAGGTAAAATGCTGCGTATGCGTATACACTGTCGTCGTCATTAGTAATGAGCATGATTGGGTGATTGCAGGTGTCACAGAACAAAATGTTGTTTACTTCTTAAGGAGGTTATCATAAGAAACTTTTCCTGTGGTTTAGAGAGCATTTTGTGGATCTTATAAATAAGGATGAGGTGGACAGTATGTTAGCGTACATGAGAGATGAGAAATTGATTCATTTCACTTGGGAGGAAAGGAAGGAACCAGTTTGGAGACCTAGGCACAGATGGGAGGATAATGTTAAAGTGGTTCTTAAAGAATCAGTGTGTGTGGGTGTGGACTAGGATAATATGACTAGAGGATTCATTTAGAAATTTATGTGTAATACCTAGGATTTTTATATAATAAGTAATTTTTAATTGCAGATACCTTTGCCTCACTTTATGCACAATTATTCAATTATTAATTTTGATGAACTTGGATTATAATTTTCTGAACATAATGGCTGAGTAGTTGGTATTCCTGCTTCATATATAGAATGTCCCACGTCCAAATATCAGCCTGGAGATTGACTATTATGACTGAGGTTTTTTTTGTGATTTTCCTCCATGCCACCAGGGAAATGTTGAGATTTTACTTTAAATTAGGTCACATCTTCCTTCTTTATCACGTTTTATTATATATTGATCATCATATTCAGTGCTATATATTCTGAGCTGTTGACAGTATCATTAAATGAACTGTAGATAATACATACCAAGTTTTGTGCATTACCATTTCATCAGTGTGATGTTCTGCAATATTGTACAGCATGCGCCTCTGCAATATTGTTTGTGTAGGGCCTACGTGTGCCCCTCTACAGCCATCTCTGTTAGAGCTAGTGGAGAGCCTGAAGGTGGCCGTGCATACTAAACAGAGTAAGAACGTGGATGTACTGCACCTCTCATCACGGATCTGCCGCAGAATGAAAGGTAACATGTATCCAGCTTGATAACTTTTAGTTGTAGACATGAGAGTACCATTTGAATGTGGCTAAGTCCATATAAAATTTTGTAAAGTTTTTAAAATGTTTCATCGTACGAAACGTCATATTTACGTCTTTAACCGCATACATTATAGGTTAAACCTTCAGTTTGATTGTTTGGTAAATATGTATATATATATATATATA